AGGAGCAAAAGCTTCCATATTATTATGCTCCTAAAGACTTTTCTTAAAGCATCATAAGGAATTTTGTACTGAGGTTAATCCTTACAGCTCCATTATGACATAAATCTTACAATATGATATGAATCACTATCAAATGGCCTCTTCACTCAAATTACAAAAAGCATACAGTATTTACAGCATCTTTCATCTGCTGAGGTTCTGGCTTATCTACCACTGAAACTCCTGCTGCTACACCAGAACCATGTAGGTGAATGGAATTTAGTTTGTAGTGTTCGCAGCAGTAAAAGAAATGCATTGTGCAATGTCTTATAGCTCACCTGGTAGAGCTTGCGCCCCATGCACTGAGGCTGAGTCTGTCAGCTGTGGCGGCAATGGGTTTTAATCCAACCTGTGGCCCTTTTTCCTGTCAATCTTCAGCAATGCTATGCAATAAATGACATTGCATAACCCACTAATATACTTACTATTCTTCGGCACAGGTTCATTGACCAACCTGCTGCAGAAAGCTGCAGTGAACACCATTGACCAGGCAGACTGCCAGCAGTCATATGGAAATGTGCTGACTCCTAACATGATGTGTGCTGGTTACATGGAGGGAGGCAGGGACACCTGTTTGGTAAGATGCAGGGGGACTTCATTCTATGTGACACAAATACCTTTTACACAGCCTGGAAGTGGGCCGGACATCTGGGTGGTATGATCTTGGCAGCATCTGAGCGGTAAGATTGTGGAACAGAGTTAAAACAAGTGAACAGAGGCTCAGGGAAATAGGGCCATGGCTCTGATTTTACAGTGGATGGTTAACCAGGTCAGAACAATGTAAATCTTGCCCTTTACTCTTTTTCTAGGACTTGTGCTTGGAAAAAAGTAAAAGCTGGTTGATTTGAAAATACTTGTCGGATATTCTAATCATGGTACAAACATGATGGAGAGAACCAAGTGTTGCTTGTTGAGGAACATTGCAGCACTTATGTGAGAGATGCTTATCTGAGAGATGCTTATCTGGTGGGAGAGAGTAGACTTTCTTTCCTACAAATACAGAGTCCCCCTTTTCACCCATTCCCTCCCTGTAATCTTCTTATGTAAGGAAACCCACATGCATTCCTGTCTCGGTCAAAGCACCTGGCATCTCAGCAGCGATCCAAGTGACATTCTCTTTGTACCTGCTGCGTCTTACTTATTATTCTGCTTCCTCACTCATCCTTAATCAATTGTTTTAGTCACCTTTACGTACTGGAGACCTCAGAGCATTAAGGTTATTTTAATTTCTAACAAATCAATAAAAGCCACTCTTGTGTTCTTTCTCTCCTCTGTCGTCCAGGGAGACTCTGGAGGGCCACTGACCTGCCGTCAGCCCTCTGGCCAGTGGTTTATTGCTGGAGTGACCAGCTGGGGACACGGTTGCGGGCGAATTGGTTTTCCGGGGGTTTACACTCGCGTGACATCCATCAGGAAATGGATATCTACGCACCTGCCTTTCTGAAGAGGCAAAAACATGGGAAATTAAGAAGCTGCAAACTACATGGATACATTGGATTTTCCTCAACATCTTTTCCATAAAAGTGTACTGTACAAGGACTAAAGTCATGCTAAAAGCCACACACATACTCACACATAGTTTCCACAGTATTGACCTGTGTGACTAACTGGTCATGGGTGCTGTTTGTAATACTGTGCAATCATCTGATCTGGGACCAACCTTTCATAATGTACTGAAGATACAAGAATACTGAACTGTGGTTTATGGACATTCTGCTAGCACATGCATGATTGAAAGTATTTATTTCAGTTATTTATTTTCCTGACTGGTAAACTTACTGTACATGGTGTTTTTTTTTTTTCAATTTTGTGTGGGGCACAATATATGTGGTTCATTTATGGGTACATTTTCTTGTGTTTTTTTTTTTGTATCTATTCTTAAAGAAATAAGACAAAGATTCGATGTAATAATTGTTGCTGGAAGCTGGGTTTTCTGGGGAAAATACAGTTCTGCATGAAAAAGTGGTATTGCAATCAACTTTACCTTTTGATTGATAAAGGCAACTCCTGGTGATGTTTCATTGATAGGCACTCTTTTTGATAAGAAACGCAAGACCCTGATTGACAAGATTTATTGATCAAATCATTCCATTTGCTCACAATCACACCGCAAAGAATGTACACAGGCTTTTCTTACATCCCTACATAAACTCAGCAGGAAAGGGGGAAAAAAAGGATTGTGGTTCCCAGACATTCGACAAACCGTGCACACAAAGCTGAGAAAGGTTCAGTACCCCGTTTACAGCGAGGCAGACCCTGCTGAAACAAGCCCACTACTGTGGAGGGTGGCAGATAGAGTGACAACTAGAAAACAGGTCAGACAAAACAGTTTTGTTCTCCAGGCGTACTTTGATATAGGACTGTTTGGAGGCTTGTGAATGTCAGGTTCACGGTTGTGAAAACACAAAGTTGCTCCTCAAGTCTTCCTGGTGATTTTTAAGTAGGTCTTTTAAAGTAAAAGCGTGTTAAGGAAAGCCTGGTTGTCCCTTAAGGGCTCCAATTGTGCTGCTTATTTTCTAAAAAGGACAAATATTGAGTCTCTCTCTGCACAGACGCACAATGAAATGAATTGGCAACAAGCATGGGGCACACTGCAGACTGTGTTTTAAGGAGCAATTGTGACAGAGACTTGAGTCTTGTTTACAGTAATTGGTATCATGTGTCCTAATTAAACAGGTTCTTGAACACAAGAAACATTCAACCATAGTTTGATGGCAGGAAGGTGTCTGTTTCTACTGAAGCCACACTGCAGTAAACACACACTGTTACCCATGCTCCAAAAAACAAAGGCCACAGTGCTGCAGTTGACTAATTTAAGAATGCCACATTGCATCAGCACATTTAGGGGACTGCAACATATCCCTGCATGCACTGCACAAGACATTGGGTCCGCCCCAGTGAAGATCGGCAGAGGTTAGCACATGCATACAAACACCCTCACTCTTTTATGTTCACTCCAACACGCATATGTATGAGTTTCCAATTCTACTGACTGGCATGTGTTTGGACACGCAGGTCCAAATGGCAGCTTTTTACAATGCATGTTTACTTGTTAACCAGGTTATTTATTATTTATAACATAAAAACACAAATAATCAAATGTTGTTACTGAACTGTTCGTCAGAGCGAAATTATAATGTCCACAGAGACACTGTTATGGCTAGAGTCCACAGGCTCTGCTCGGCCTGTCTGTGAGGTATTATGAGAGAAGTTGATGGTGTGCTGCTGCTGACACCTGTACACACCTGTGCACAGCTCTTGGCTTCCAGGGGTACACTGTGCTCTTCCTCACTAAACAGCAGCCTGAGGAAGGGAAGGGAATGGGAAGGGCGAAGAGAGGGATGTTCACATGCGAGCTCTTTCCCTCTGTAATCTGGAGTTGTACGTTCGGGACACGGTGTTCCAGGCATCCATATAGCGGTCCATACACATGGCAATACATTTCTGCGAGCACAAAAGCAGTGACGTTAACACTCTGAAGAAATAATCCTGAAATTGTGTGACAAGATCTTTTTTTAGTCTAAATCTAACAACTATTTTCATTATAAATTACTATGCCGCATTATTTTATTGATTAATCTTCTGTAACATATCAAAAGAATTCTAAGAAATGCTCATTTAATTTCCCCAGAACTTAAGTTGACATAATGAAATTGCTTATTTTGTCTGATCAACAGTCTAAAACCTTAAAGACATTGCTTTAACCATCATATCAATCATAGAGAAATCTGCAAATCTGGACATGATTTATTTAAAATATTACTTACACAGTTTTTACAGATTGGTTTAAACTCTTTTTGCATCTGACAGCACACTTGCTTATTATCATTATTATAACACATACCTGCTCAGAGTTATCCAGCGTGCTTCCTGGTTTACCTATGCACTTCTTGAAGCATTTGTCTGTCATTCTCTGAAACATGAAGATATGGATAGTTAAATATATGTATGGAGTACAGTACAGCTTATTACCAATAGTGAGAACAGCGGTTCACAACATCACGCGGTGACCTTTAGAAGGCCTAAATTAAACAGGATTACAGGTAGATCTGGTTAGATTCAAGGTTTTAACAGCCTCTCAATGACTTCTACTGTTTCTATGAGTCGTATTTCATTAACGTGGTAACATATTAATGGCAATATCTTTATCTAACATTACGACAGGATTATTAAAAGGTGCTCACGCCATCCCTAATAAACTTTATTATACCTAACATTCCTCTTCAACGCACTAAAGTTATATTCTTGCTGTCCCAGCAGCTGTTGTCCATTGATTACCTGCAGCAGCTCCTGTGCGTTAGCCACCGCGATCTGGACCTTGACTTGCTCCATGATCGTGCCGGTGTCCATTTTACCGCCCGACCCACCGGCCGCGAAGTCTGAACCGAACCCGTCCATTTCTACCGGAGTCGTTACCGTAAACGGGAGCTGTATCGACCTTTATCAGGTGCACGTGTGGACAGCTACTGCTAGGTTTGGCTAACGCAAGTTTTCAGATGCCCTTGACAGCGGCGGAACACCGCGTGCGTCACTTCCGTCTAGGGGACTCCGACATGGGAAATGTAGTTTTTTTTGTTTTTTTTTAAAGTGAGCGGACCGGATACAGTTACAGGGCAATAAATACACCGCTGCCAAAAAGACTGTCTGCGTGACATATTTAAACTCGTGTATGTTTATAATACTTAGGAGACTCACAGACGGCTGTCAGCACACAGGCACCCGTATCACGTCACACCACAACGACGCGTGTTTGCCACATGGTGGAGGTATAGTCCACTGAATCACTCAATCAGTGGAGGTATAGTCCACTGAATCACTCAGTCTGACTCTTTAATGGAGGGAATCAGACTCCAGACCTTTTCAAGCATGTTACCAACAGATACCTGTAACTATTGACGACATTGATTTTCTTTACATATGATTAAATGGTTTAATGCACACGTGTAGATTTAATACAGTACCATTCATTGGTTGATAGATCACTGATTGCAGCAGTACAGCATATCCAGGGTGTTGCATTGTAGAAGATCAAGGGTTGGTTGTCCACCAATGAGGGGCCAGTTCAGGACAGTCAATAACAGGAAGAAATTAAATTATTTACAAAACAATAAGATATACATGCTTTTTTTAATTTCTTTTTTTACATAAATGATGGGGTGTAATTACCATCTATTTGCTAAATATCATACTAACCATTTATCTCACTCTGGTCTTACACAGCAGGCTGAATTGGAAAAGAAATTCCATTACAAAAAATTTCCACAGTATGATTTTAATCTGTATACTTCATATTCTCTTTTAACATTGCATTTATGTTCAGTCTGGTAGTTATTGTAAGATTGTTCTACCCAGTTGCCTGCGTAAAGGAAAAAAAAATAAAATTTTAATTAAAACTAAGCTTGTCAACTTGTTTTGGGTAACTATGTGGAAAGCAGGAGCCAACCACATAAATAGAAAGTCATAAGAACCTCTGCATTGTTTGGTGTTGACGCCTGGGCATAAGGATGGCCCCCCTCCGAGGACCCCTCTCCTTATGTTTCAGACAGGATGACCTCACTGAGAAGACCACCTGCCTTGAGTGAACAAATATGAGGTACAGTTAGTCTGCAGGCAACAATGGAGTGACGGTTACTGTCATCTAAACAGACACTGTGAGTGGCTTGCTGCGACGCTGGGGGCATTGAGGAATAATTGTAGGGGGTCTGATTAGTGGCGTGCCTGCCTAAGAGTAATTAATGACCAGTTACACAATGTTTTCACCCTTTGCACATGAAAACGCACACACATATGCATAAATCTGCAGGTTTTGGCTCAAAGCCACTGGGCTGAATGCGGGGGAAGGGAGGGTTGGGTTAAAGTGCAGCAAAATGAATTAACCCTAGATTACAATCATGAGTTCATTAATCTAATCTCCTTAAATTCTTAATCTCCTTTAGGCACACTTGTGTGTATGAAAGCATTTGGCCCAGTCAGTTACAACAAGGGAGGCTTCAATAAGCACTGGCAACAATGGTTATGAGAATGTGAATTACCCATGAGTGCGTTTCTGGTGTCAGACTTTGAGGTTTCACAAGACTGTTTGATGGTTACTTCAGGGCATTCAAGTATAGAAAAAAAAAGATGTTGGTGATTTGAGGTATTGTGAGGAAACAATAGTAAATAGTGGATAAAAGGAAAGCTGACTGAAAAACACACACATGCTCACATACACACAAACTCAGACAGTCGAGACACTGCAGCAGCTTTTAATCTTCAAAAGCAGCTGCTGAGTGACAGTAAGAAGGAGTGAGAGACAGAGAGAGAAAAGGGAGGGAGGAGAAACCTGAGCAGTGTGGCATTGACTCTGGTGGTGCTGTTTATGGTGTTGGAGATCAGTCAGCGCTGTGCACCGGCAGTCTCTACCAGTCAGTCAGTTCTGAGTGACAGAAAATCTCTGTTTATCTGTAGTATTCAATTTTTCATTCCTGTCTCTCATTCTTTCTTCTTTATCGACTTCATGGGAGCTTTTTTCACAGCATATTTTAACTTGTTAAAGCATGAAAAGCACAGGTGCAACTATAAACATTAACAATGTCTCTGTTTTACTGAAGTGTCCCAAGTTAGGCAAAGAGCCAGAATGCACAATAGCAGGGAGCTGGCACACCTAAATGGAACGAAGTCATTATTAATGTCATTAATTACACCTGCAGACAAGTCGGGACATGCCCCAATAAAGAATCTCGTACAGAGAAGACTTCATTCCTGAATCTGAAACTATCCTTATTTGGATGCTACTACACAAACATTCCCAAACATGAAGTTCCTTGTACACCGGCAGGCTAACTTGGCTGATTCTTGACTGACCTCGTTCTTGTCCTGATAGCTCACGAGTACTTAAATCCTTCAGAAAATGTCAGGAATTCAGCTGGAGAAACGATCTCATGGTTCTCAGAAGGACTTTAACCTGCCATCATATGATCATTAAGACTGTTGGATATGTGGAGCTAGCAGGGACTGTGCAGGAGGTACGCAGCCAGGGGGCTCACAACCACTGAGGTCTCCTGTCAGAGGGTTATCTCATTTTCTTTCTTTTTAGCAACCTGAAGGAGTTTCCATTAGTCAAAAACATGGTGGGTATTTTAAAAGCTGATTCTTTTTTAGAAAGTGTGTTTAAATCTTACTACATTTAGGCCAACAATGTTTTATTCCTGGCACTGTGAAGATGATTAGACCAGACTGCATGTTTGACAATAAAACTGAACAGAAACTGAATAAATACAATTAAAATCATCCAAAATAACTTTGACACAAATTCACATATTTGTAAGCCTACTCAAACTCTCAGTTCTTTTAAATCCAGGCTAAAAATACAGTTTTTGGCCACTGCATTTGTTGGCATTCATTCATATCTCTCACTATAGGCATTATTTACTCCTTTTTTCTCTTAGTTTTAGATGGCATTACCTTTTTCAAGCCTGTATATGTCTTTTTTTATAGTTTATTTTTACTATTTTTTATAGTGCCCTGTACTTCTTTTATGTCTCGCCTTAATGCCTTTGTAAATCTTACACAAATCCCTTTAAACTACCTCGTTGTTGAAAGCTGCAAAAGAAACCCTCAAAACACTCAGAGATGCTCTTCTGTGAGCACGCAGGTGAAACACACAGAAGCAGGTGTTTTTCAGTATTTCCCACTGGCACTGCTATCTCACCATGGAGGTGCACTGACCCTAAAGTTGGATGCAGACAAACAGAAAAGCCTTTTTGCTGTGCTGTTTTTGCCCATTGGACAATAGCAGGAGGAGTAGGAGGAGCCAGTGCGAACACTCCGGCAGCCTGTGTGCTCTCTCCCTGCGCTCCTCTGCTCGCTCTCCTGCAGGCTGCGTGGCTCCCACACAACAAAAAACGGAGCTGCTCACTTTTCTGTATTGTTTTTTGTTTTTTGTTTTTTAAATAACGCGTTTAAAACTCAAAACTCCCGTCGCAGACAAATGGCTCAACCCTTCCCCGACACTTTAGGACAGGGTACAGGTTTGACCTCGGGAGGCGGATTTGTCTAAATTTGTGGCCAGAACTTCAAACAAAAAAAGTCAACGACGGCGTAAGTTGTAGCCGAGATAAAGGAATCCGGATCGGCTCTGTGGCTATCAAGGTAAGCATTGAGACGCAGAATCCTCCTGAAGTAGCCTATGGATCGCCGAGATACGTGCTTGTTTGGGACATTTCACCCAACTTCCGAAATGTGATGAGTGTATTTTCCAGGCTGGAACATGGGATCCTTTGGTGTTATGTGTGATTGTAGCAGGCTGGGTGTTTGCAGGCTAACTTGGGAGGAAAGTTGAGCAGCGCATGCTGAAGTGCTGACCGTAGTTTCACATTTTACTGCACAAAACCAATTGGATTTCACGCTGAGTCCCTCCACGGAAGTCCACCGTGCTCCTTTCAGAGGGATTCAATAGCCGACTTAAATTTATCTGCTTTGAAACAATGGAGCCTTTAAAGCGGAAGATATTTATTTGGTCATTTTCAAGTTGCGGAGAGTCTTTATGAACCCACTGTGCCGTGCCATGGGTGTTACAAAACAAGTCATAAATAGGTGAAAATGTCCAAGCACGTTGTTACATAATTATGTTAATTATATAGTCAATAAAGTTAATCTTATTTTGAAATGCTGCATCCACCCCAGAATGCACTGGCTGCAGGATTGTCTGGATCCACCTCAGATGATCAAAAGAGAGATTGGGGGTTTTTCATCTGTTGCTCAGTGGTTACATAATTTATCCTCCAGGAGCTGGTCTGAGGTGTCATATCTTCATGTGGGCTTCAAAGCTTTGCTTTTGGCACCTTCCTGTATGTGAGCAGGCGGAGGAGCAGAACAAGCTGACAGGAATTTCTTGGCTCTGGCGGTTTGCTGGAGGTGACTCACAGGTCTGAAATGTTTATAGGGGTGGAAAGATGTGATATAGGACAACACACCCAGGTGTTGTTTCCCTGCCTTAAAGGCCAGTTAATGTAGCTCATTTGCTGTTGCAGGTTGTGAGTCTTGACACTGATGTATGTTTTCTAGTGTAAATCTCTGTGTCACACAGTGTATACACATTGGGTTATGTGTGGGAGTGCTCCTTATCTGATCTCCTTTCATCTCTATAAAGTCTGAAGTCCATTTCCGTTATAACCCAGCACACTGATATGAGGATTTTATTTCTGAGCAGCCCATTCAGCAGCTGTTGGCATAGCAAGTTTTGTTTAATCATAAAATGGGAGGAGTGTTTATGGTGGCGCTCACATCAAAAGGAGGGTGCACGACCTCAATATTTTCTTTCCTCCTGTCCAACGGTCATACATGGTTGAATTGAACAAATGTAAGGGAGTGGCTCGTTCCACCTGTGCTTATGTTTTTTTTATATCTTCTATTTCCTTATCCAGGTCCAAGTCAAGATGTCTGTCAGTAATCACGAAAACAGAAAGTCTCGCTCTAGTTCCGGCTCCATGAATATCCAACTATTCCACAAGACGTCTCACGCTGACAGTCTGTTGACCCAGCTCAACCTGTTGCGAAAACGAAAAGTCTTCACAGATGTTGTCCTGAAGGCCGGAAACAGATCGTTCCCCTGCCACCGGGCCGTCCTGGCCTCCTGCAGCCGATACTTTGAGGCCATGTTCAGTGGCGGGCTCCGGGAGAGTCGTGACGCCGACGTAAATTTCCACGACTCTCTCCACCCAGAGGTGCTGGAGCTCTTGCTTGACTATGCCTACTCGGCCCGAATCATCATCAACGAGGAAAATGCAGAGTCGCTCCTGGAGGCTGGCGACATGCTTCAGTTTCATGACATCAGGGACGCAGCGGCAGAGTTTCTAGAAAAGAACCTCCACCAGTCGAACTGTCTGGGGATGATGCTGCTGTCGGATGCGCACCAGTGCCAGAGACTGTACGAGCTGTCATGGAGGATGTGCCTGGCGAACTTTGCTACTCTCTTCAAGACAGAGGACTTCCTCAACCTGCCCAGAGACAAAGTCCAGGAGCTGATCCTCAGTGAGGAGCTGGAGGTGGAGGATGAGAGCCTGGTGTACGAGGCTGTTATCGACTGGGTGAAGGCCGACATGGAGCGCAGGCACAGCGAGCTGCCTGAGCTGCTGCGCTGTGTACGCCTGGCCCTCCTTCCTGAAACGTACTTGCTGAAGAACGTTGCTTCGGAGGAGCTGGTGATGTGCCATAAAGTGGGTAGGGAGATTGTCGAAGATGCCGTACGGTGCAAAATGAGGATCCTCCAAAATGACGGCATTGTAACGGGGTTCTGTGCCCGGCCGAGGAAGGTCAGCCAGGCCCTGCTGCTGCTGGGAGGACAGACTTTCATGTGTGATAAAGTCTACATGATTGACAACAAGACTAAAGAGATCACCCCCAAAACAGACATCCCCAGCCCCAGGAAGGAATGCAGCGCCTGTGCTATTGGCTGCAAGGTATGTGTGTGAGCTATACTGGAATATGTGCATTTTCATGTCCTGTTATGTGGTACTCAGACTGTGATTTCTCTCCACATGTCTCAGGTTTATGTTACTGGAGGACGTGGCTCTGAAAACGGGGCCTCCAAAGACGTCTGGGTCTACGACACATTACACGACGAGTGGTCCAAAGCTGCGCCTATGTTGGTCGCCAGATTCGGACATGGCTCTGCAGAGCTCGACCACATGCTGTACGTCGTGGGAGGACACACGTCTCTTGCAGGATCCTTTCCTGCATCTCCATCTGTGTCTCTCAAACAGGTTGAACAGTACGACCCTCAGACCAATAAATGGACCCTGGTGGCTCCGCTCAGAGAAGGGGTGAGCAACGCTGCTGTCGTCGGTGCCAAAAACAAACTCTTTGCCTTTGGGGGCACCAGTGTAAACAGAGAGAAATACCCCAAGGTGCAGTGCTTTGACCCTTGCCAGAACCGGTGGTCTGTGCCGGCCGCCTGTCCACAGCTGTGGCGCTACACTGCAGCAGCTGTGGTCGGCAACCATGTTGTGGTGATCGGAGGCGACACTGAATTCTCAGCCAGCTCCGCTTATCGGTTCAATAGTGAGACGTACCAGTGGTCAAAGTTTGGTGACGTGACGGCCAAACGGATCAGCTGCCATGCAGTGGCGTCAGGAAACAGACTATATGTGGTTGGAGGGTACTTTGGGGCTCAGAGGTGTAAAACGCTAGACTGTTATGATCCATCATCGGACTCTTGGGACAGTGTGACCAGCGTGCCCTACTCACTCATTCCCACTGCCTTCGTCAGCACATGGAAATACCTCTCGGCATAGAGCGAGAGAGACGCACTGACTCTTTGAGGTTTCTACGGTGAGTAATTGTAGCTTCCTTAAACTGACACAAATAAACAATATGCCAGTTAAATGTGCTATATATAGTGTCCCTTTGTATTGTCAGATAATATGTGGGAACTCAGTTTGTGGAGGCAAAAATATCTTCAGATAATTCAAACAACTTTGTTACTTAACAGGTGAATGTCAGTTTGAACCGAATGAGGCCGGTTTAAAACCCCTGACTGTTTTCAGGGTTGCTAGTGGTTACAGTTACACATTATCTAGCTTCTGTGACGGCTGGGTGTTGGATAAACATGGCGAGTCCTGGTTTAGAGAGCAGGAAGAATGTCGGCTCTGCTGGTAATTACAGAGCGAAAGCTACAACACAAGACCTCTGTCACTAACAGGAGCGAGGTGGAGAGGCAGGGATCAGGTCTGTGCTTGTAGCGCCAGGAAGGCAAGCGGGCAGGGTGCTCCGCAGGGCAGTGCTGAGTGCTGATGGACTGCCTATTATGAGTCAGTACCTTAAAACAGTTGTAAGTTATAAAAAGTGATGTGACGCATGGTGCTTAACGTATGGGGGGCTTGGAGCCCGAGGAGCCCAAGGATCTCAGTGAGCTTTAGATAAGAGCCAAAACATAGCTTTTTATTAGCAAATGTTTCACTGTATACTAATAAGTACAAAACTTAGTTTTTCTTTGTAAAGATAAGATATTATTCATATAGCACCTTTCTGTGTTAAGTGTTTTA